GTTCAGCTGGCTCGGCTCCAGCCCCCAGGTCAGGTTCAAGTCTGCTGTTGGTGTGTTATTCATTCTTCCAAGACCAGCAGGATACCCCAGGTGGCAGAAATGCAAGAGAGCAAGCACAGCTGTGCAAACATATTTCAAGCTTTTCTTCATATCAGATCTACCTAATATCCCAGGGACCAGTCACATGGCCAAGCCCAAGGCAAAGAAGTATACTCCACCCACCATGAAGTCATATGTATAAACTCCTATAGCGACTGAGACCAATAATTCTAATTACGATAATGCCTCTTTCCCTGTCCTTGACAGTAAACCTCCTAAGTCTGTTGAGTTATGTTGTCTCTAGTAATACCAAAAGGATGCAGTGGAATGTGGACATTCACAAGTGCAGTCCAGGATGAATTTTGTCCTCTGAATCTGGGAGGAGAGTCAAGCCTGAAGTGTTGCCCTCATCCCCATGATTGAATATGGGTGATCACCATATCCACACATGAAAGAGGGAGGCAGGTTTCTTTCCTTTTAAGGGCATAAGATAGCATTTGCACATGTGTCTTTTGTTCTAACCCATTGCTAGAACCTAGTCACGTGGGCATGCATTAGTTGTAGGGAAACTGGAAACTCTAGTCTCCAGATGGGCAACCATATGCCCAGTTAAATTCTGATTGCAGTAGGGCGCCTGGGTGGCTCAGTTGGTTAAGCGACTGCCTTCGGCTCAGGTCATGATCCTGGAGTCCCGGGATCGAGTCCCACATCGGGCTCCCTGCTCGGCGGGGAGTCTGCTTCTCCCTCTGACCTTTCCCCCCTTATGCTCTCTCTCTCTTTCAAATAAATAAATAAATAAATAAATAAATAAATAAATAAATAAATAATAAATAAATCTTTAAATTCTGATTGCAGTAGAGGAAGAGAAGAATAATTATTAAGGAGACAAAGAGCAGTGTCTTCCAGAGAGGTTATAACTGGAGGTAGGAATGGGAACAGAGACATAGAATGAAGTATCTACCTTCCTCTATATATTTACATATTATTTTTAAAGTTTCATATAATTTTCATAATACTTTCATGTATTCTTTTCCAGATTTTCCTCTGAAAATATGGTACATTGTACATCCTTACAATCATACTGTGTATACAACTTTGTGTCACGCTCTTCTCATTGAATATCATGGTGTCACCAGTAATAGTCTGTACTGCTGAATAGTCTTCTGAACTATCACGGATAATGGCTGAAACTATCACATTGAATGTAATTTCAGGATTATAGTATATATCATGTTGAATGTTAGCTGAGTGTTCCCTCGGATATTTAAATTGTCTCTTTTTAAGATTTATACTTTTAATTTTGAGATAATCATAGACCGTAAGAAATAATACAGAAAGATCCCCACCTCCATAGCCTTTTGTCAGTTTCTCCCAGGGATAAAATCTTGCAAAACTACCTAAAACAGGTAGTACTATAGTATTAAAACCCCAGCATCGACACTGATACCGTTCAGATACAGAACATTTTTATGACCCCCAGGGTCTTTCAAGGTGCCCTGTCAGTCACGGCCACTTCCCTCCTGCTCCTACCCCTTCCTTAATTTCTGCAACCGCTAATCTGTTCTCTATTTCTATAGCTTTGTCATTTCAAGAGTTACACAGATAGAATCATACAGTACCTTATGTAACCTTTTGGGATTGGCATTTTGCATTCGGCGTACTTCCCTGGAGATTCATCTAGGTTGGCACATGTATCAAAAGTTTGTTCCTTTTTATTGCTGAGTGGAGTTTCACAGTATGGATGCACCATCGTTTGTTTAATCATTCACCCATTGGAAGACATCTGGATTGTCTCAGTCTGGGGCTGTTATGAATAAAGCTGCTATAAATATTCACGTACAGGTTTTTGCATGAATATAAATTTTCATTTCTCTGGCATAAAGGCCTAGGAGTGCAATTGCTGGGTCATATAATAGTTGCATGTTCAGCTTTTGTAAAAGCACTGTGAACCTGTTTTCCAGAGTGGCCATACTATTTTACATTCCCACCAGCAATGTATGAGTGATCTAGTGTCTCCACAACCTCACCAACATCTATTGTTACTATTTTTTAATTTTAGCTCTTATGATAGGAATACAGTGATAACACATTGTGGTTTCAGTTTGCATTCACTTAATAGCTAATAATTTCACGTTCTTATTTGCCATCTCTATATTGCCTGTGAAATGTCTCTTCATGTCTTTTATCTATGTTCTAACTAGATTTTTTGTTCATTTACTGTTGAGTTTTGAATGTTCTTTATAAATTCTAGATACTAGTCCTTTCTTGAATATGTAACTGCAAATATTTTCTCCCAGTCTGTAACTTGTCTTTTCATCCTCTTAATATGGTTTTTCATGAAGCAAAAGTGTTTTTAATTTTTATGAAGTCCAATTTATCCAGCTTTCCTTTTATGGATTGTGCTTCTGTTGTCACGTATAACCCTGAGAGTCTGTTTTTTGTTTTTTTTTTTAAAGATTTTATTTACTTATTTATTTGAGAGAGAGAGAGAGAAACAGCATGAGAGGGGAGAGGGTCAGAGGCCCACTGAGCTGGGAGCCCGATGTGGGACTCGAACCCAGGACTCCGGGATCATGATGTGAGCTGAAGGCAGGCGCTTAACCAATTGAGCCACCCAGGTGCCCCAAGTCTGTTCATTTTTTGTTTTTATTTATTTATCTGTGGATTATTTAATTTTTTAATTTTACTTCTAATTTTTTTATTTTAAAGATTTTATTTATTTATTTGACAGAGAGAGAGATAGCAAGAGCAGGAACACAAGCAGGGGGAGTGGGAGAGGGAGAAGCAGGCTCCCTGCGGAGCAGGGAGCCCGATGTGGGGCTTGATCCCAGGACCCTGGGATCATGACCTGAGCTGAAGGCAGACGCTTAACAACTGAGCCACCCAGGTGCCTCACTTATTTTTTTTTAAATAAAAAAATATTTTAAGCTCTAACACGGGGCTTGAACTCACAACCCCAAGATAAAGAGTCATATGCTCTACCGACTAAGCCAGCCAGGAGCCCCAAAGTCTGTTCATTTTTATTTTTGGTTTATTTTTTCTCTGTGTTGCTCACATTGAATGATTTCTACTCTCCTGTCTTCTGGCTCAGTGACCCTTTCCTCTGTCCCCCCCCTTCCCCATGCTACTGTCATTCTGTTGAGCCCTTCCACTGAGCTTTTTACTTCAGTTATTGTCTTTTTCAGTTGTAACATTTACATTTGATTTTTTTTACATCTTCTATTTCTTTGCTGAGACTTTCTCTTTTTGCTGAGGTTTGTATCTCTACATTTGTTTCAAGTATACTTATAATTGCTCACTGAAACATTTTTATGATGGCTGCTTAACAATCTTTGTCAGATCGTTCCAGATCCCTGTCACCTCAGTGTTGGCATCAATGAATCACCTCTTTTCTTTCAGTGTGATGGCTTCCTGGTTCTTAATATGGTGAGTGATCTTGGATTGAAAGCAGGACATTTTGTATTGCTGTAAGACTGCGTCTTATTTAAGCCTCTCTCAGTTGGCTTTTCCTGATAGGGGAAGGGGGTGGGGGCTGCCTCCTTTCTGCCAGGTTTAAGTAGATGTCCAGCTAGCCCACTCTGCCTTACTTGATGCTGGCAAAGAAGAGATGATCTCCCCTTACTGCTGCGGGAGGGGTGGGAATATCAGCTCCCCACATGGTCTTATAACACAGCAGTGGGTAGGGTCTCATCACCACTGGCGATGGTGAAAGTCCTGAGTGCCCACTAGGCGCCTTCCATGTTTAGAGAACTTTCTTTAGCCATTCTTTTAGGGTAGGGTGCTAGCAACAAATTCTTTTAGCTTTCCTTATCACTTGAGAATGTCTTGATTTCCCTTTCATTTCTGGAGATAATCTTTTACTGAGTATAGGATTCTTTGCCTTCAGCACCTGTGACACCACCCCAGCGGGGAGATGGAGGAGCACCTTGTTACTTCTGGATTGGAGTGGAAGTCCAGTCTCCACTGACATCATGGGCTGGGGGGGATCTTTGTTAGCACACAGCAGGGATGAACGTGCCAACTTCCTACTTGGCCATCTGACACCGTCCTGGCCTGGAGGTTGGGGACCCATGTCACAGCCCGGGGAAGGCGGAAGTCCTGGCTCCCCAGTTGACCACAGTTTTTTCTGTGGTGTTTGGCTGTTGTAGGGCAGTTGTTGTCTGTACGTTTTCTGTCTTGCTACATTCCCTCTTTCCTGGTCCTTGGCTTGAGAGAGCAGGCTTTTATTGGGGGCTTTGTTTTGGTCTGCATCTGGCTGCATTTCCTTATTGCTAACTTCTGCAGCTCCGTAATGGGATATACAAGGAGAAAAGAAACTTCAGGGAACTCACCACTTGTTGAGTCATGAGGTCTTTAGCCACTTTGCCTTCTCTCCACCTTCCAGAATCTTCTGATGCTTGTTTTGTATATAATGTCCAGGGTTTCTTGTACTTAACAGGAGTGAGAGGGAAAACATACATGTGTTACATCTTCCTGAAAGCAGAAGTCTCTTTGTTTCTTTTTTTTTTCTTTTTTTTAAGATTTTATCCATTTGAAAGAGAGAAAGAGAGAAAGAGAGCATGAGAGGAGGGAGGGTCAGAGGGAGAAGCAGGCTCCCCACCAAGCAGGGATTCCGAGACTCCAGGATCATGACCCGAGCCGAAGGCAGTCACTTAACCAACTGAGCTCCCCAGGCGCCCTCTTTGTTTCTATTAAGCGTATACAGAATCCTTCTGTATAAATCTAAATCTTTTCCCACATATGGGATGGATTCCTAGAAGGAAAGTCAGTCGGCCAAAGGGTATGAACATTTTTGTGACACTCAAGACATGATGACAACACTTAAAAGACTGTACCTGTTCACACTATCTCTGGCAGTTTCTTGCCTTTTTAAGGATAATGTCAGTTTCAAAGTGGCACTGAATCGAATGTGTGCCTACTTGAGGTCCTTGGTAAACTGCAGGCCGCTTGCCAACCTGTAGGTGGATTTTTCCCCTGAAACTCTTCTACTGCCTCCGCCGAAAAGCCAGAGGGTGCTGGTGATGATGGGCTTCAGCAAGGACTGGGCGGAGCCCCGCGAGGGGACAAGGGCCCGAGTATGTGGGGCTGCATGCCGGTTCTCCTAACAGTGACTATATTCTTAGGGAAGCCGCTTGTTTCAATATAAGAGTCTAAATATAAGAGTCATCACAAGCAATGTGATGAAGTCATTAGCTATATTGTCAGGTGCTAGATGGAAACTAGGGGAGATGAATGGGGGAAGGAACGAGCATAGTATGATTTTTTTTTTTTTAAGATTTTATTTATTTATTTGAGAGAGAGAATGAGACAGCACAAGAGGGAAGAGGGTCAGAGGGAGAAGCAGACCCCTTGCTGAGCAGGGAGCCCGATGCGGGACTCAATCCTGGGACTCCAGGATCATGACCTGAGCCGAAGGCAGTCGCTTAACCAACTGAGCCACCCAGGCGCCCCGAGCATAGTATGATTTTAATGCTGGGTGGGTACAGGCATTCCTGCAGCAGCTCTGTTGCGGCTGATCACAGGCTCTGGGCCAGGGGGTGTGATGTGTGTGTTTCCTGGGGATCACAGACCCAGTCTCATGGTATCAGAGAGTCGGGGAGAAGAGGCAGTTGCTGACAGCTGATATATATATATATATATTTTTTTTTTTTTTTTTTTTGAGAGAGAGAGAGTGTGTGAGTGGGGGTGGGGGGTGTGGGCAGAGGGAGAGAGAGAGAATCTCATGCAGACTCCATGCTCAGCACGGAGACTAACACAGGGCTCTGAGATCATGACCTGAGCCAAAATCAAGTGTTGGATGCTTAACCGACTGAGCCACCCAGGCAGCCTGTGGATAGATACTCCCTGACAGCGTTAGTGAAGGGTGTGGAAGATCCAAACTTAAGAGATAATCAGATCATTTATGTTTGCCTTTGGAATCTTTGGAATGCAGTACTACCTTAGCTGCCCTTCTCTGGCCCAGAGTTTTGTTGATTTGCACCATTTTGGAGCATGGCCTTGTCCCCAGACACTTCTCCTCCTGCTCCATTATGTTGACATTTCCACCTACAAAGCATTAGTGCAGGGTTGACAAGAGGTTATAAAACCTGGCCCTTGACCTCTTGGAAGGTTGATCTCTGAAACTGAGAACGCTGGGTGTCGGACCTTGGTCACATGCCCTAACCACTATGGGCTTCAGTTTCCTTTTCTGGGTCTCTTTACAGGGTTATTTTGAGGATTAAATAAGGTAATAATGTATGTGAAAAAACTCTAATATTAAAATTCCATACTCTGTAGGAAGTAAAGTAGGAGTCCAATTCATTGATCTTTTCAGTTGTTAATTCACTCATTCATTCATTCACTCACTCATTCATTCATTCACCAATCACTCACATATTTATCATGTGTCAGGCACAAATAAAAGAAACGAGCCATGCTCAGGAAGTCTACTCTAGGAAGAGCTAGGAAGCCAGGATTGTGTGCTAATCCTTCCTGTCTAACTCCTCTGTCCATCGCTGTTTGGCTGGGGTGGACATAGACGCTCTTCTGGGGAGCTTGGAGATGGTTAAGAGGAGCTTTCAAAGACCTTCCAACCAAAACCAAGCTTGCCAAACCTGAGAAAAAAACACTGTTGGAATAAATGAAGTCCTACAGACTAATAATAGTAAGGTGCCCAGAAAGCAAGTAACTCACTGGGCTCGGGAGTCTTGGTAAACTTCAGAGCAAGATTTGCAGTGGACAAGCTACAGATTGTTTGAGCCTCCTGGCTGTCCCAGCTGTGGTCTGAATTCTCTCCCAGGAGTGGCTGCATCCAATCCTTGCTGGCACAGATTTTGCCTTCCTCATGTTGAATCCCCACTGTCTGGCCCCACTGTTGCTCACAGAAAGTCTTTTTGTGGTACCCTGGAGTTAGAGGCCGCGATGAGCATTCTGGGTTTTGGACTTGCAGGTGGGCACTCTCCCCGGACTGTGTGATGTGCTGCAGGTGCTGCGGGAGGAACGGGACCAGTGCCTACAGGAACTCTCCAAAGAGAAGCCAGGAGACCTGGGCACGGAGCAGCCAGCCCCAGGTATGTGGCTCACTTCAGTCCACGCTTGGACGTGGATAGTGTCCAGTCCCACTGGGGTAAGGGAGGCTCGATGGGTTGGGGATGTAGGGGGCTGGACTAGCTCTATTCATTCAGATAATCACCTGGGGGGAGGATCTGGAATGATCCCAACGAGCAGTTGACACACACTCAAAAAGCCAGATCATCACCACTCACCGTTTCTCTGGGCTCGTAAATACAGTCTGTGTTTTCATACCACCAACTTCTGCATAATGACTTCACCAAGGTAAGAGTTTGGTGAGAATTCCTAGTCAAGGCAGTGTACCTCCTATCCATTCTCTCACCTCCTCTGCCAGTTTGATAAGTGAGGTAGTCAAAGAGGCAGCGAGGGGTCAGAAAAACCTGGGGTCCAACATTGGCTCCCACTCACTGGCTGTGTAACCATGGACAAGTTATTTAACCTGCTGAGCCTTGGTTTCTTGATGTACACGATGGAGGTGACAATGTCTACTTTGGGTTTATAATGATGCATGAGATAAAGTGTGTTAAATACTGATGATTCTTAAATATTATTCATTTAAACATTATTATTAATCATTGAAAAATACCATTAATTTGATATTGAAGGGGCACCTGGGTGGCTCAGTCAGTTAAGCATCTGCCTTCGGCTCAGGTCATCATCCCAGGGTCCTGGGATGGAGCCCCACGTCGGGCTCCGTGCTCAGCAGGGAGCCTGCTTCTCCCTCTCCCTCTACCTGCCTGCCTGTCTGCGTACTTGTGATCTCTCTCTCTCTGTCAAATAAATAAATAAAGTCTTTAAAAAATTTTTTTAAACATTTGATACTGAAATGTTAATTTTATTTCTATTCTGCTTTTTAACTTTCCCCATCTAAAGGTAAGGAGGTGTGTAGCATTAAGAAAAGAATCTATTACAGGTATTCAAACAAAGACTTGTACACATATATTCATAGAGCCGCTAGTCTGAATAGCCAAGAGGCAGAAACAGCCCAAGTGTCCATCAACTGATGTATGGATAAGGAAATGTGGTCTATACACACAATGGAACATTATTCAGTCTTAAAAAGAAATGAAGTACTGAACATGCTACAACATGGATGAATCTTGAAAACATGTTAAGTGAAGGAAGCCAGTTACAAAAGGCCATGTATGGTATGATTCCATTTATATGAAATGTCCAGATCAGGCAAATCCATACAGAGAGAAATTAGATTGGTAGCTGCCAGGGGCCAAGGGGAGGGAGAATGAGGAGTAATTCTTAGCGGTTCCCTTTTGGTGGTGGTGAAAATATCTTAGATCCAGATAGAGGTGATGGGTGTGTGTTAACAGTGACTGTCCCAAATTCCACTGAATCGTACACTTTAGAATGGATAAGGGCTAATTGTATGTTATATGAATTTTTTTTTAAAGATTTTATTTATTTATTTGAGACAGAGAGAATGAGAGACAGAGAGCATGAGAGGGAGGAGGGTCAGAGGGAGAAGCAGACTCCCCGCCGAGCAGGGAGCCCGATGCGGGACTCGATCCCGGGACTCCAGGATCATGACCTGAGCCGAAGGCAGTCGCTTAACCAACTGAGCCACCCAGGCGCCCCTGTTATATGAATTTTTAAATAGACTTTATTTTTAGAGCAATTTACTGCAAAATGGAGCAGAAAATGCAGAGTTCCCATATACTCTCTGCTCCCCACCCAAACACAGCCTCCTCCCTCATGAACAACCTATAACAGAGTGATACACTTGTTATAATTGATGAATCTGCATTGATACAATGTTACCATCCAACGTCCATAGTTTACATTTGGGTTCACTCTTGGGTGTACATTCTGTGGGTTTTGACAAATGTATAATGACATGTGTCCACCATCATAGTATTGGACAGAGTAGTTTCTGTGCCCTAAAGATCCTCTGTGCTCTACCTATTCATCCCTCTCTCTCCCCCAACCCTTGGCAACCACTGACCTTTTTACTGTCTCCATAGTTTTGCCTTTTCTAGAACCTCATATAGGTGGAATCATACAATATGTACCCTTTTCAGATTGGCTCCCATCACTTAGTAATATGCATTTATGGTTTTCTCCATTTCTTTTCATGGCTTGATAACACATTTCTTCTTAGAGCAGAATAATATTCCATTGTCTGGATGTAGCACAGTTTACCCATTCACTTACTGCTGAAGGACATTTTGGTCGCTTCCAGATTTTGATAATTATAAATAAAGCTGCTATGCGTGGGCAGAAGTTTTCAACTCATTTGGATAAAATACCAAAGAGCTTGATCGCTGGATCATACGGTAAGAGTATGTTCATAAGTTTTGTGAGAAACTGCCAAACCGTCTTCCAAAGTAGCCATGCAATTTTGCACTCCGTGACAATGAATGAGAGTGCTTGTTGGTCCACATCCTTGCCACCATTTGATGTTGTCAGTGGGTTTTTTTTTTCTTTTTAACTGTGGTAAAATACGTATAACATAAAATGTGCTATCGTAATCATTTTTGAATTTGAGAAATTTGAATTTTAGTAAAAATCGCCTAACATAAAATTTACCTTAAGTATTCTGGAGGTACAATGCAGTAGTGTTAAGGACATTCACCTTGTTGGGCATCTAGTCTCTAAAACTCTTTATATTCGTTAAAACAACAACTCCCTTGGGGCGCCTGGGTGGCTCAGTTGGTTAAGTGTTCCAATCTTGATCTCAGCTCAGGTCTTGATCTCAGGGTCGTGAGTTCAAGCCCAGTGCGGAGCCTATTAAAGAGCAAACAAACAAAAAACCAAACCAGCCCCTTTTTCTCCCTTCCCCTATCCTCTGGCAACCACCATTCTACTATCTATGAATTTGACTATTCTAGATACCACATATAACTGAAATCATACAGTGTTTGTCTTTTTGTGATTGGCTTATTTCACTTAGCATAATGTCCTCAAGATTCATCAATGTTGCAGCATATAGCAGAACTTCCACATTTTGTTTATCTGTTCATTCATGAAAGAACACTTGACTTGTTTCCACCTTTTATCTACTGTGAATAATGCTGCTATGAACATGGGTGGGCAAATATCTCTTCAAGTCTCTGCTTTCAATTCTTTTGGGTATATACCTGGGAATGAAATTGAAGGATTATATGGTAATTCTATTTTTAATTTTTTCAGGGTCTGGCATACTGTTTTTTTCCATAGTGGCTGTCCTATTTCACATTCTCACCAGCAGTGCACATGAGTTCTAATTTCTCCACATCTTCACCAACACTTGCTACTTTATTGGGGTTTTTTTGATAGTTGCCATCCTAATGGGTGTGAGGTGGTATCTCATTGTGGTTTTGATCTGCATTTCCCTGATAATGAGTGATGAATGTTGAGCATCTTTTCATGAGCTTGTTGGTCATTTGTATGTCTTCTTTGGAGAAGTGTCTATTCAAGTCCTTTGTTCATTTAAAAATAGGGTTGTTTGGCTCTTTTGCTGTTGAATTATAGGAGTTCTTTATATATTCTTGGTCTTAACCCCTGATTAGCTCTACAACTTGTAAATAATCTCTCCCATTATGTAGGTTGCCTTTTCATTCTGTTGATTGTGTACTTTGATGAACAGAAGTTTTTAAGTTTGATATAGTTCACTGCATCTATTTTTTACTTTTGCTTTCTGTGCTTTTGAGGTCATATCCAATAAATCATTGCTAAGTTGAATCTCACGAAGCTCTTTCCATATGTCTTATTTTTTTATTTTTATTTTTTTTTAAAGATTTTATTTATTTATTTGAGACAGAATGAGAGAGAGAGAGAGCACATGAGAGGGGGGAGGGCCAGAGGGAGAAGCAGACTCCCTGCCGAGCAGGGAGCCCAATGCGGGACTCGATCCCGGGACTCCAGGATCATGACCTGAGCCGAAGGCAGTCGCTTAACCAACTGAGCCACCCAGGCGCCCTCTTTCCATATGTTTTATACAAAGATTTTTAGAGTTTTAGTTCTTACATTTATGTCCTTTGTCCATTTTGAGGAAATTTTTATATGTGGTCCAGCTTCATTTTTTCACATGTGGATATCCAGTTTTTCCAACAGCATTGGTTGAAAAACTTTTTTCCACTGAATGGTTATGGCACCCTTGTCAAAAATCCTTTGACCATATATATGAGGGTTTATTTCTGGGTTCTCTATTCTTTTCCATTGGTCTATATGTCTGTCTTTCTGCCAGTGCCACACTGTTTTGATTACTGTAGCTTTGTAGTAAGTTTTGAAATCTGAAAGTGTGATACTTCCAACTTTGTTCTTTCAAGATTGATTTGGCTGTTTCCAGGTCCCTTGAGATTCCGTATGAATTTTAGGATAGGTTTCTCTATTTCTGCAAATAACGCCATTGGGGTTTTGAAGGGATTGCTTTGAATCTAGAGATTGCTTTGGGTAGTATCAACATCTTAACAATATTAAATCATCTGATCATGAACACAGGATGTCTTTCCATTTATTTGTGTCTTTAATTTCTTTCAGCAACATTTTGTCACTTTCAGCATGCGAGTCTTTAACCTCATTGGTTGGGTCTATTCCTAAGTGTTTTTTTTTTTATGCTATTGTAAATTGATTCATTTCTTACTTTCCTTTTCAGATTGCTCCTCATTAGTGTATAGGAATACAACTGATTTTTATGTGTTGACTTTGTATCTATCTTGCAACTTTGCTGAGTCCATTTATTAGTTCAACAGGTTTTTTTGTGGAATGTTTAGGATTTTTTACATACAAGATTATGTTGTCTGTGAACAGAGATCATTTTACTTCTTCCTTTCCAATTTGGATGCCTTTTATTTCCTTTTCTTGCCTAATTGCTATGGTTAAGACTTCCAGTACTACTCTGAATACATGTGGTGATAGCAGGCATCCTTGTCTTGTTCTTGATCTTACAGGAAAAGCTTTCTGTCTTTCACCAATGAGTGTGAAATTCACTGTGGGCTCGTCACATATGGCTTTTGTTATGTTGAGACAGTTTCCTTCTATTCCTAGTTTGTTAAGTGTTTCTATC